AGGATGCCGTCCCAACAGTCACTGGTGTATGTAGGATGCTGTCCCAACAGTCACTGGTGTATGTAGGATGCTGTCCCAACAGTCACTGGTGTATGTAGGATGCCGTCCCAACAGTCACTGGTGTATGTAGGATGCCATCCCAACAGTCACTGGTGTATGTAGGATGCCGTCCCAACAGTCACTGGTGTATGTAGGATGCCATCCCAACAGTCACTGGTGTATGTAGGATGCCGTCCCAACAGTCACTGGTGTATGTAGGATGCCATCCCAACAGTCACTGGTGTATGTAGGATGCCGTCCCAACAGTCACTGGTGTATGTAGGATGCCATCCCAACAGTCACTGGTGTATGTAGGATGCCGTCCCAACAGTCACTGGTGTATGCAGGATGCCGTCCCAACAGTCACTGGTGTATGTAGGATGCCGTCCCAACAGTCACTGGTGTATGTAGGATGCCATCCCAACAGTCACTGGTGTATGTAGGATGCCGTCCCAACAGTCACTGGTGTATGCAGGATGCCGTCCCAACAGTCACTGGTGTATGTAGGATGCCGTCCCAATAGTCACTGGTGTATGTAGGATGCCGTCCCAACAGTCACTGGTGTATGTAGGATGCCGTCCCAACAGTCACTGGTGTATGTAGGATGCCGTCCCAACAGTCACTGGTGTATGTAGGATGCCATCCCAACAGTCACTGGTGTATGTAGGATGCCGTCCCAACAGTCACTGGTGTATGTAGGATGCCGTCCCAACAGTCACTGGTGTATGTAGGATGCCGTCCCAACAGTCACTGGTGTATGTAGGATGCCGTCCCAACAGTCACTGGTGTATGTAGGATGCCATCCCAACAGTCCCTGGTGTATGTAGGATTCCATCCCAACAGTCACTTGGGTTTGCAGGATTGTGAAGAATTACCATTGAAAACAGTCTTTTTTGTCACCAGTTTTTAGAGAGAAAAAAGAATTTGGTGTATATATTTTATTCAGTTTCTCACCACTACAAATGAAATTCACAAACTACATGAAAACAATGATTAGGATGATATTACGAAGTAGTGAGTAGGTTTATGTGACCTTCTCAGAAAATAAACTATTTATTCCATTTAGAAACTTTTGGTCATGAAGGTTACATCAAAAAGTACAACTGTAGAATGGAAAATAACTTTTAATACATGAATTTAGAACCTAACTTAACATGCAAAATAAAATTAATTTTAGGAATGATTTTTATTCGGTGATGGGAAATACGAAAAATATTTATATTGCCTTTGCTTGAGTGAGTGAGTATGGTTTTACGCCGCTTTTAGCAATATTCCAGCAATATCATGGCGGGGGATGCCAGTAATGGGCTTCACACATTGTACCCATGTCGGGAATCGAACCCGTGTCGTTGGCGTGACGAGCAAACACTTTAACCACTAGGCTACCCGACCGTCCTGCCTTTGCTTGAAAGATTTTTGATGTGAAGTTTAAGTATTGATCTATCGACTGCATCCACGATTATCCAGTGGATTGTATCGCCTTTCTGTTATGATGTATATACCCTGGAATCAGTTGCCAACGTTGATAAGCTTTGTTTTGAGTCGGGTTTGAATGTAATGACGCTAAAATTAGCTGTCCAATCGTGTACCGTATATCGCTGTGTATAAGGCGAGTTTTTCATGCCTAGAATTAGGGGTCTTTCAAGGAGGATCGTCTTATGCACAGGGTTGAAAAGTTTTGATATTTTTTTCCCCAACACAAAGACATTACTGTGAGCACGTAACACCAGAAATACCATGTCAACGAATCTGTACTTAAGTATGCAAATTAATCATGTGTGTAATTACACTGTCTGGTTTTAAAAAGTGTTCCTTGTGTATCTGGACTATATAGGTTTGTAATCTATTTTATTAATTTTATTCAAGATTTCAGAGAGAAAAAGGAGATTAAGTGATGTCACTTCTGAAACAATGTTATTGTGGGTTCAGGCAGTCTTTTATAATAGAATGGGAATATGATTCACTGTATTATCGAGGATGACTGACTGGAGTAGAGATGATGTAGAAACTAATATGACTGGTGTGTGAGTGAGTGAGTGATATATCCGCATTACCAATCCTCATTTTTTCCTGCACAATAAGTGGTTTGGATGGTTGCCGGTACTTTCTACGAGGGTTCTGTCCCCTCGCATGATCAATTTGAGAATTGGTTGTTATCTGTTATCGTATACACTTTGTTAGGTTTTAGTACCTATTAAGAACATACTAGTGATAGTTCAATACCATTTTGATATATGGTCAGCACATACGACATGTCTAGAGCCCCGTGAAGATCCGAGTTAGAATTGGCCTTCAGCAACCCATGCTTGTCGTAAGAAGTGACTAACGTGATTGGGTGGTCAGGCTTGCTGACTTGGTTGATGCATGTCATTGTATCCTAATTGCCTAGATCGATGCTCATGATGTCAATCACTGGATTTTCTGGTCCAGACTCGAGTACATGTTATTACAGAGTGCTGTCATCTAGCTGGAATATTCCTGATTGTGGTGTTAAACAACAATCAAACAAACAATCCGGGGAGTCGTGTGGGTAACCGGATCCTACTCAAGACCCACCCGGCCAGAGTACCTGAGTTACCCATTCCAGCGCTACAGGCGCCCCCCCCCAGGTATCCGAAGGGCAAGCAGAATTAGAATACAGGCTGTTTCGAGATTTCTTGTGTCTTCACTATTCAGGCGAGTACTTGTTCAAGGTTAATTTGCTGCGTCCAAGTTAAACCTGCAATTCTGATTATAATCTATACATGCTCTGTGGCTGTATATATATTTGTTTGAATTGCATCTCATAAATGCAGAAAGATAAGTCAATGGGATGTTAGATTGATATGCTGCTATTCCAGGAGGCACCCCATGGTGCTGAGCATGCAACATTTGGCTTTGTGCAGTTTTATGTCTACTTCCTGACATGGTAAATATGATGAGATATAGCTGGTCTTGTTGAGCTGATAGCAGAGTTGATCTGAGATGGCACGGTTGTGGAAGAGGACTGGATGTTCATTCATAATCTGCCATGAATGAAACCCTGTAACACTGCTGCTAGGGCATAAGGGCCTATTCTCTAACATGAATCATGATCTCGCATGCTTTCATTTTCACCCATTTCCCAACTGTTTTCCTCCTTCGTATGTACAGATTTTCCTGGTCGTACGCCCTCCTGCCAAAAGTTTGTTCAAGTTTGCTGTTCACCCATTGACTTTCATGTTATTTCATTGTAGCAAAATAACTATCACAACATCATTTATGAACATCAATACACATTATCAGATATTTGGACATTAAAGAACAATTCATGTAAGTTTCTGTTTTCAAAATATGCTTGGAATTCTTTTTACCAATCTCATTAAAATCAGACATCTTATAATTCGTGAAGATCCGGGGTAGAATAGGTCTTCAGCAACCCATGCTTGCCGTTAAAGGCGACTGCTTGTCATAAAAGGCGACTAACGAGATCGGGTGGTCAGGCTCGCTGACTTGGTTGCTGCATGTCATCGATCCCAATTGCGTGGATCGATGCTCATGATATTAATCACTGGATTGTCTGGTCCAGACCGCCGTCATATAGCTGGAATATTGCTGTGTGGGGAGTAAAACAACAAACCTACCAACCAATCTTATAAACATGGTTAAAAAAAACCCTGAGGACACCTCCAAATGATCAGACTGAAAGATGTAATTTTAATGAGATTGATTTTGTAAATTCATGTGGGTGACAGAAAATGGCCATTTCCTTTACTGTTCTGGAGCTATGCTGTCACCAAAAGTGTGAACACTGTATTATTATCATTATGTTAGTTTGTTGTTAAACGCCACACTCAGCAATATTTCAGCTATATGACGGCGGTCTGTAAATAATCGAGTCCCGATAATCGAGTCTGGACCAGACAATCCAGTGATTGACAACATGAGCATTGATCCACGCAACTGACATTCATCAATTAAGTCAGCAAGCCTGACCACCCAATCCCGTTAGTCGCCTCTTATGACAAGCATAGTCGCCTTCATTATGTTAGCAGTAACCACACCTTAGAACCCAAATTATGTTAATATAGAGGAAATAATTTTGTGTTAAATCAGATGAAAAATGTGTTGATGAAATGTATTATGGTTCAGCTGAAATGACATGGAAGTCAATGAGACACTGGCAGTGGTCATGGAGAGGTTGTCTATGTAGGCAACATACAGATGGCAAATTAACACACACAAAATGTTGCCAGTGTTGAAAAAAGAAATTAATATGAAAAATAAAAAACGCACAATCAAGAAGACCAGCTGTTCCAAAGGAATATTTTTTTCAGTCAAACACAGCAGTGAATCAAGGATATAAATCTCTCTTGCTTTTGGGATTATCAGGATTCTTGTTGTGATGTCAGAGCATTGTTTAATTGTCCAAATTTCACATCATAACCTTAACACATGAATTTCCTTGATTGACAAAAGAGATCCATATCTTAAAAAGTGTTTTGGTGTTCTGAAACTATGCACTTGCTGTAGGTCTATTACATATGCACTATTTCACAGTAGCAATGTTTGACCATACTCATAATAATCAATCAACATAATAATGATAGTCAAACTAAATGATTGAATGAATATACAAAAAATGATGTATAGGGAATGAGTGAATGAATGAATGAATGAATGAAATAAGACATAAGACATGAAATGAATGAATGAATGAAAGAATGAATGGATGAATGAATGAATGAAATAAGACATGAAATGAATGAATTGAAAGAATGAATTGATGGATGATAAAAGACATGAAATAAGAGAATGAATGAATGAATGAATGAATGATATAAAACATGAAATAAGAGACACTACACAATGAAATCCTGAATATCTGAAGCCATCTCAACCGTGAACCATATGTACTCACCATAGTAAGCTATATTTAGGCGATTGCCCTATTTAACCATATGCTATAGCCGTTATCAATAACTACTGATCTCAATATGCAAAATGCACTGGGGACGCTGTTATTAAAGTCTGGACATCAAACAGCGCTCCTACTAGCCTGGAGCTGGACTGTTTGCCCATGGAGCCGAGGACAGAGACTGTTTGATGCTGTGCTCCACTTGTAGCCTGTTGGGATTAAATGTGTTAGACCAGGCGTGACACCTCAGTATTCAGCTTGCGTAGCAGAATTTGTTGTTAAACTTGATAGAGAAACGAAATGTGACATTCTCGGTGGTGGAGCGACTTACGAACCTCATGACATCGGACTTGGGCTGACATTTTGATGTGTTGTGTTACACAGACAGAATTTGGCCTCAACCCTTTGAACAATGTGGAAAGAGTGAGTGAATTTTAATTTGAGATTTGATTCCTCTGTAGCTATTGGACATGAATTTACTTCTGCTTTTGTTGTGTTGGAGGGTTCTGTTTGCAAGCATAGACTTGTAGACGTAAAGATATGCATGGATAAATTGGTTAGATCGTGAAGTGACAGTGAGAGATATTATGGAGGCTGGCTTAATAGATCTGACAGCTTTTAACACATGTTTTCAATGAGATTTGTGATGCATAGACCTCACATGATCTTTAATCTTCTTAAATTACTTTCTATTAACATTTTTGAGAGATGATTCATGGAGATAGGTAATAATTGGTAGACTGAAGGCAGACTACACAGGGAGTGCTTCCCTCACAGCACTGACGAGGTTAGGAATATAGGTGATGTCAGGTGAAATGGGGCTAAACGTCGCATTCAAGATAATTTCACTTATATGGTGACATTTATAATATACCTCTGTGTGTGTGTGTGGCTGCTTGTACTAGTCCAGACTAATGCTGATTTTATAGTACTATCCCACTGACATTCCACACCATAGTTTGAAATGAATACCCCACTCAGACACAGTATACTGACTCCATGTCGACCAGTCCTTGTTTTAGCCCACTGAGATACCATGCCACCGTTTGACATGAATACCCCACTCAGACACAGTATACTGACTCCATGCTGACCGGTCCTTGTATTAGCCCACTGATATACCATGCCACAGTTAGACATGAATACCCCACTCAGACACAGTATACTGACTCCATGCCGACCAGTCCTTGTTTTAGCCCACTGAGATACCATGCCACAGTTTGACATGAGTACCCCACTCAGACACAGTATACTGACTCCATGTCGACCAGTCCTTGTTTTAGCCCACTGAGATACCATGCCACCGTTTGACATGAATACCCCACTCAGACACAGTATACTGACTCCATGCCGACCAGTCCTTGTTTTAGCCCCCTGATATACCATGCCACAGTTTAACATGAATACCCCACTCAGACACAGTATACTGACTCCATGTCGACCGGTCCTTGTTTTAGCCCCCTGAGATAGCATGCCACAGTTTAACATGAATACCCCACTCAGACACAGTATACTGACTCCATGCCGACCAGTCCTTGTTTTAGCCCCCTGATATACCATGCCACAGTTTAACATGAATACCCCACTCAGACACAGTATACTGACTCCATGCCGACCGGTCCTTGTTTTAGCCCCCTGATATACCATGCCACAGCTTAACATGAATACCCCACTCAGACACAGTATACTGACTCCATGTCGACCGGTCCTTGTTTTAGCCCCCTGATATACCATGCCACAGTTTAACATGAATACCCCACTCAGACACAGTATACTGACTCCATGTCGACCAGTCCTTGTTTTAGCCAAATGAGATACCATGCCACAGTTTAACATGAATACCCCACTCAGACACAGTATACTGACTCCATGCCGACTGGTCCTTGTTTTAGCCAATGATATACCATGCCACAGTTTAACATGAATACCCCACTCAGACACAGTATACTGACTCCATGCCGACCAGTCCTTGTTTTAGCCAAATGAGATACCATGCCACAGTTTAACATGAATACCCCACTCAGACACAGTATACTGACTCCATGCCGACCGGTCCTTGTTTTAGCCAATGATATACCATGCCACAGTTTAACATGAATACCCCACTCAGACACAGTATACTGACTCCATGCCGACCGGTCCTTGTTTTAGCCCGTTGATATACCATGCCACAGTTTAACATGAATACCCCACTCAGACACAGAACCTGAACCAGTCCTTGTTTAAGCTTATGCCGAGCGCCAGGTAGGGTAACAGCAAGTACAACAGAGCTACAGATAAGCTGCGTGTTTGCATAAAACACTCCCCCAAAATATTCAAAACCCAATTACTTTCAATAAACTTGCGTATGGAAACTCATGCATTAAATGAAAAACTCAAATGTATGAAAACAGCTCGCGTAAATACCCAATGAAGCTTTTTTATCATGTGTACAAAGGAGCTATTTTCCAAAACACAATTATGAGCTAATTTACTTTCCGAGTCAAGCCTGTATTTTTAGTTATATACTTCTAAAGCATTATTTATTTATTTTTAATCTTAAAAAGTTTACTTATTTGGGGAAAAACCCAATCGAGTGATTAATAGATGAGTGAAAAAATATTGGTTATCCAATAAAAAATGTAATAACCCAATTAAAATATAAACCCTACGGTAAAAACTCAATAGCTTAAAAAGTTATCTGGAGCTCTTGTACAATCTATTAACATCTTTGGTATGATGGGGACAGGGAATCAAACCTCTGACCTATTCTGTCCACTGACCACCTATGAATATATGAGGATGTACCCTGATGACATCTTCTTTGTCAGCACCATGCTGTGTAGTTAGCTCTAGACCCGTGAAGATCCGGGGTAGAATAGGTCTTCAGCAACCCATACTTGCCGTAAAAGGCGACTATGCTTGTCGTAAGAGGCGACTAACGGGATCGGGTGGTCAGACTCGCTGACTTGGTTGATGCATGTCATCGATCCCAATTGCATGGATCGATGCCCATGATGTCAATCACTGGATTGTCTGGTCCAGACTCGATTATTTACAGACCACCGTCATAGAGCTGGAATATTGCTGAGTGTAGCGTTAAACAACAAACCAACCAACTAACATGTTATGATAATCTGTCAGGAGGGACCGATTCAACTCCCATGAAGACTAAAGTTTTCCACTTCTAGTTAACTTCTAATATGTTTTGTTTCCTTTTTTTGGGCATTTCAGTGGGAGACTTAGGTTTTTGTCAAGTTATATCATCATTACCACATTCATCTTGAGTTGACTGCCGATACTGGCATCACATGCATGAACTCTGCTGCTGTGAATTATGCACAGAAGCAATATGCCTCACCTATTGAACACAGACTTATAGTGAAACACAATGAAAAGGCATTATCAACTTTAACTCGAAATCAGAAAAGATGGGTTTTTGTGCTCAAGTTAGTCTCCAGACACAACGAGTGAGATTCCCACCTGTATGACGACATTGTTGTATTTGATTATCCCATGCTAAATACCCAGAACAATTAAGTTTGATTTTTATTTTGCCAAATATTACAAAACACTGATTATGAGTTTTCAAAGTGTCTCAGTATGTGACACACATGGAGCAGCACTTAAACAGATGTAAAATCAAAGCTACCTGATACAGCTTTATAGGCAGAAATATTTTTTACAAACAGTCTGCTCATTGGTTTGAAATATGCAATAGATTAATTTACTTTAAGTGGTCATCCTGGGTGTCCTGCGTATCATCGTACCCGATGTCAACCACTTGTTTGTCAGGCCCAATCTGTATTTTAGGTATTTACAGTCTGTGAGTGACTGAATGAGTAGATCTATGAGCGATAGAAACTAACAGTTTTAGCCCACTAGTCCTTATAATGGTAACAAAGCCAAACCCTTAAAAAAGGCAAATTTCTACTAGTGCTTAGGATGATTGACTTAATTGGCAGTTTGGCAAGGACTACAGGACAAGTGCCAATTTCTAACGCTGGGCATAGGTACCCCACACCCCGAATCTGTGAAATAGCTGGAATATTGCTGACTGATTACACAAGTTAGTTTGTAACATCTGATCGTGATGAAGATGAATGGTGGACTCAGTGTTGAATTTGAGTCTAGGAACAATGTTTGTTGTGGTGTTGTATTTATGGTGTTGTTTCCAGGTTCCGCTCGGTCACCGTGAAGGAAATGATCCATGCGGTGTTGAGATGCTATATTTATGGTGTTGTTTCCAGGTTCCGCTCGGTCACCGTGAAGGAAATGATCCATGCGGTGTTGAGATGCTATATTTACGGTGTTGTTTCCAGGTTCCGGTCGGTCACCGTGAGCCTAGGAACGATGTGTGTTGGGATGCTATATTTACGGTGTTGTTTCCAGGTTCCGTCCGGTCACCGTGAAGGAGATGATCCATGTGGTGTTGGGATGCTATATTTACGGTGTTGTTTCCAGGTTCCGTCCGGTCACCGTGAAGGAAATGATCCATGTGGTGTTGAGATGCTATATTTATGGTGTTGTTTCCAGGTTCCGGCCGGTCACCGTGAAGGAGATGATCCATGTGGTGTTGAGATGCTATATATACTGTGTTGTTTCCAGGTTCCGGCCGGTCTCCGTGAAGGAGATGATCCATGTGGTGTTGAGATGCTATATTTACGGTGTTGTTTCCAGGTTCCGGCCGGTCACCGTGAAGGAGATGATCCATGTGGTGTTGAGATGCTATATTTATGGTGTTGTTTCCAGGTTCTGGCCGGTCACCGTGAGCCTAGGAATGATGTGTGTTGAGATGCTATATTTATGGTGTTGTTTCCAGGTTCCGGCCGGTCACCGTGAAGGAGATGATCCATGTGGTGTTGAGATGCTATATTTATGGTGTTGTTTCCAGGTTCCGGCCGGTCACCGTGAAGGAGATGATCCATGTGGTGTTGAGATGCTATATATACTGTGTTGTTTCCAGGTTCCGGCCGGTCTCCGTGAAGGAGATGATCCATGTGGTGTTGAGATGCTATATTTACGGTGTTGTTTCCAGGTTCCGGCCGGTCACCGTGAAGGAGATGATCCATGTGGTGTTGAGATGCTATATTTATGGTGTTGTTTCCAGGTTCTGGCCGGTCACCGTGAAGGAGATGATCCATGTGGTGTTGAGATGCTATATTTATGGTGTTGTTTCCAGGTTCCGGCCGGTCACCGTGAAGGAGATGATCCATGTGGTGTTGAGATGCTATATTTATGGTGTTGTTTCCAGGTTCTGGCCGGTCACCGTGAAGGAGATGATCCATGTGGTGTTGAGATGCTATATTTATGGTGTTGTTTCCAGGTTCTGGCCGGTCACCGTGAAGGAGATGATCCATGTGGTGTTGAGATGCTATATTTATGGTGTTGTTTCCAGGTTCTGGCCGGTCACCGTGAGCCTAGGAATGATGTGTGTTGAGATGCTATATTTATGGTGTTGTTTCCAGGTTCCGGCCGGTCACCGTGAAGGAGATGATCCATGTGGTGTTGAGATGCTATATTTATGGTGTTGTTTCCAGGTTCCGGCCGGTCACCGTGAAGGAGATGATCCATGTGGTGTTGAGATGCTATATATACTGTGTTGTTTCCAGGTTCCGGCCGGTCTCCGTGAAGGAGATGATCCATGTGGTGTTGAGATGCTATATTTACGGTGTTGTTTCCAGGTTCCCGCCGGTCACCGTGAAGGAGATGATCCATGTGGTGTTGAGATGCTATATTTATGGTGTTGTTTCCAGGTTCCGGCCGGTCACCGTGAAGGAGATGATCCATGTGGTGTTGAGATGCTATATTTACGGTGTTGTTTCCAGGTTCCGGCCGGTCACCGTGAAGGAGATGATCCATGTGGTGTTGTCGGAACATCTCACAGGGAAGGTCTACAACTCCGAAGAAACCACAGAGCTCACAAAAACTATCTCAGATGAAATAAAGACAAAATTAAAAGGTAAAGCACTGAAAGCAATGACTTTTCCAGAGGACCTGTTTGCATGACGTGTTCGACTATCTGTGAAGATTTGGGTTGAAATAAGTCTTCAGCAACCCATGCTTGCCTAAAAGGCGACTATGCTTGTCATAAGATGCAACTAGCAGGAACGGGAGGCACCCTGACTTGTCTGATGCATGTCATTGTATCCCAATTGCGTAGATCGGTGCTCATGATGTCAATCACTGGATTGTCTGGATCCAAGGTAGTAAAGATGATATGAAAAGCAAAGAAAAATATCAATACCTAATGTGAAAGATAACAATTATTTATTAATAAAAAGTCATGACTCAAACATTTTCTGTAGCCCTGTATAACATCACATTCATCCACTTAATTCCCTTGATTATGATAAAACTGTCGAATAGAAGTCGGGGCCATCTTCTGTTTGAGTTTGTAGATGGATCTAAATATGTTTCTATTTCATCAAAGACAGAGCGATTAATGCAATCTTTTTCTAATATTTTGTTTTTTATCCATAAACCAGATTTAAATGTGTTGCTTAGTATGAACCTTCCTCAATGACTGTGTGTTTCAGACCTGGGCTATGACAGATACAAGTTCATCGTCCAGGTTGTTATTGGCGAGCAGAGGGGAGAAGGAGTGAAGTAAGTCACATGACACTTGTTGTTGGCGTTAAATTCTCCAGCTGAAGCGTGGCGAGTCAGAAGTTAATTTCCAAATATACAGTCAAACACCATTGTGTCAAAGTTGAAGGGACCTACGTAAATACATCGAGTTATCCGAGGTTTGACACAACCGAAAATGATGAATAAAGAATGAATACGCAGGGACCAAGCTTTTCCGAGACAACCGTACATTTGACACAGAAAAGTTTGACACAACGGTGTTTGACCATATGTTGTAAAATTGAACATCAGCATTTTTTCAGCTATTCTTGGATATGTTGTATCTTAGATGCCATATTAGTATATGGTCATACACAAATCAATTATAACCATGATAAAAGTATAGAACATCTCATAAAATGCTTATGAAATACCATGTCTTTATTGCTGCATAAATAGAGATTATTATGTGAGCATTTGTGTTGTACTGAGTTTATGGAACAAGTGGCACAATTCTCGTATATCCTGAGTGAGAGCGATGGTAATACATGAATTCTTACACAAGGTTCGTAAAGTCAGTAGGACACACATGCGATTGTAATAACTTTTTTATTACTCATTATTTCTTAATCCTTTTGAGCTCCCCTTTAGAAAAGTGCACTGATCGCGACTACCGTCGTAGAAAACGACAATTGTCGAATGACGTCAACAATCTTTAGCTATGATGTTGTTTCTACTGTGACGTAATTCTGCCCTAACATCATAATAAGATTTGAATGACATCAACAATGATGTCCGTATGACGTAAGGAATACACCGGTGTGAAGTAATATTTGCACTTTGATATAAGTGCACATATGATTTTTATGAACTTGGTTATTTCAAACCCTATGGGTAATAAAAGCTGGCAATTTTGGCATGAAGTGATTTTTGCTCTCTGCTTTTCTGCACATGTTCAAAACTTGTGTTCAGAGTAAGATCAACATCTTTTAAAAAAAATAGATTTATGCTTTAACTCCATAATGATACGATTGTTAGATGATAAGTGATGAGAGACAAACTTCCAGCCACATGATCTGGGCTTTCTCTCCTCATTCTTTCCGGACAGATCATCTTTAATTAGGAGTTTCGAGTAGATTGTTCTCTAGATATCTTATTGTCAGTTTAAGAAAGACAATGACACGATGAAGGAAAGTGTTTGGAATGTGAACCCTACAGAGAAACAGGAAGTGAGCCTGTTGTTCAGATAACATGGTGTTATCAGTTTGGGATGTCGTGAACAGTTGATGATGTCGTGAACAGTTGATGATGTTGTGAACAGTTGATGATGTCGCGAACAGTTGATGACCTCATGAACAGTTGATGATGTCGAAAATAGTTGATGATGTCATGAACAATTGATGACCTCATGAACAGTTGATGATGATGATGATGATGATGATGTTGTGAACAATTTATGACCTCATGAACAGTTGACGATGTCGTAAATAGTTGATGTTGTCGTGAACAATTGATAACCTCATGAACAGTTGATGATGCCGTAAATAGTTGATGATGTTGTCAACAATTGATGACCTCATGAACAGTTGATGATGTCCTGAACAATTGATGACCTCATGAACAGTTGATGATGCCGTAAATAGTTGATGATATCGTGAACAATTGATGACCTCATGAACAGTTTGTGATGTCGTAAATAGTTGATGATATCGTGAACAATTCATGACCTCAAGAACAGTTGATGATATCGTAAATAGTTGATGATGTCATGAACAACTGATGATAATATTATCCTCAACAATGAAGCTATGAGATATTTATATGGCTTCAACTGACAATGGATATTGATAATCACTAAAGTGAGTAATATCAATTTATCATAGGTGAGTGATATGGGCATTGTATGACGTGGCCATTGATGGAATTCTCAAGGCTGACACACTATCCACTAGACCACAGAGGCAGTCTTATTTGAGTTTTAACCCCAACACAGAGCCACCAGCCAACAATGACTGGATGAATAATAAACTATCTCTGTTCACTTCAAGTGAATAAATACTATATATGATACAGCTGTATCAAGATATACATTTATGTTCAAATAGCACAAATACTCAAGCCTAATTGTAACTGGAAACCTTAATATAAACAGCCAAGAAGGAAATCTTGAAAGGTGACAAGAACAAGACTTTCTCAAATATAATAGGCCTTTGGTGAAATCTTTTCATCTTTGGTCATGAACTTGTGCATACATTTTCTCTTGAAGTATGAAAAAATGGCCTTTTTCTCTCATGTTTAGCCATTATTATTAACATGTCTGAATAGTTTTCACACCAGTATTTCCAAGTTTTTATAAGTTTAGATTCCAGTGGACGACAAGGAGCTCTTTTCCCACCTCATCCGTTATAGATTTGACATAAGGTTGACAAATCACCATACACCAAGTTTGTTTTATATCTTGGTTTCCTTACCATGTTGGACAAATCCTGCCTTGTAGGTAGAGAAAATAGTACATATTAAAGACAAGTAAGAATTTTCTGCTCTTCAGAAATAATACTTGTTAGGGCTGGGACGAGTCCAAATTTACTACCTGGGTACCCCCCCCTCCCCACTATTACCTGACCCTACCTGGGTACCCGCTGTAGGTCTCAAGAGGTAGGTACAAATTGAAGTTGACTGAAGTTTTATTTTTATTCAAACATATAAGTGTCAGAAGGAATGGGCGTAGTAGTAAGAAAGAACTGTGAAAATTAGTGACTTGTAGTTTAAACATAGAGTTCTAGTTAATTTTTGTCATTAAATAATCTATCACATGACTAACCACAGGTCTGGGTAGTCATGTGGGTACCCAGGTCCTACTCAGTACCCACCCGACCCGAGTTACCTGTCCCAGCCCTAATACTCATATATGGATATTTTGTCATGTGTTGTAAACCTTCAGTCTAATATATCGTTTGCTCATTGCGTGCAAACTATGATTAAGCAATAACAAGAAACTCTTTTGTTGTAAACAAGTTATGCAGTGCTTTTATGAAGATATAGATAACTTTTTCTACAGGTCATTAATATTAAGATTATGAGGTGACTGTATTAGCTCTTAAAAATAACAATTCGCTATATTTATCATGTTTGGACTTTTTTAATGACATGTTTAAACGTTACCAGCAATCTAGATTAAGCTAAAATAGATGTTGGCATCAGTTCAAAAGATTTCCTTTTGTTTCGGAATTTGCCACATTCTTGCTTCTATTTCTATGGAATCCATATTTCGGGAACTATGTTTAAGAGATTGTCATTAGTTTCATGTCATTCTATATATAGGGGCACAGCTGGCCCAGTCATCTAAGGCGCCACAATTGAGTGTGTAGAGTTGCATCCCTTGGATGTGCCAGAAACCTGTGAATGTGGGTTTGCATCCCAGATTTGTCCTGATTATGTTTCTTGGTATATGTCAGCACCATTCAAGAACTGGGGGAGGCAGAGTGGCCTGGTTTTCTAGGGCGCCGCAATTTGTTGTGCAGAGTTGCGTTCCTTGAAAATAGGCACACCAGAAACATGATTGTGGGTTCAAATCTCTGATTATGTTACTAGGTTTATCAGCTTCATACCCATGCTCCTTGGTTTCACAAAGTGGTAAGCATCCGAGATCTGCATCACTTCGGGCTCTCCTCCCACTTTTAGATGGCATGATGTGATATTACTGGAATACTGTTCAAAGCGGCATTAAACACAACTCACTCACTCTCTCGCTTTCTTGTATCTTTTTATTTTTTTATTCATCATAATTAACTATTTTTGTTTTAATTTCTTATTGTGGCCCTTGGCTGTAGCTGTCGAATTGGTAGGTCATCTCATCAAAAAAAGAAACCCAATGTCACCTGATCATACATTCTTAATAACAATGAACCTTTGTTTCAGGATGGCGTGTCGATGTTTCTGGGATTCAGATACAGACAACTATGCTCAGGATATTTTCATGAATGTAAGTTGATCCCCAATCACAATATCTGCCAAAGCACTGGGAGGTATACATACTCACAATTTATATTTATACTGAAATGTTGGCAACTTATCTGTCTGTGAGACTAAAGCGGATGTGCTAGCTAGAAATACTAGTGATGTATATTTTACCATACAGAATGTTCTCGCTAAGGTGCACTGGAGATAGTTTCGTGTTTGTTCTTGAAACAGTAAACATATGTTTTGTTGCCCTTCCAACTTGATAAGATTATCACGCTTGTGGACAATTAAAATGTGTCTGTGTCATTTGTGGCTACTTTTTTAGCTCACCTGACTGAAAGTGATGTGAGATTATGTCCTAGCCTGCTTGTACATCTTCATCCAGGTCATGGCACTGATGAAGATGAAACTATAGGCATGCATGTTCCTGCCAATGACACCCCAATTTGTTCATATGGTTCATATCTGATTTTCAATATTGTCGCAATGGCGGCCATGCTGAAAAACATTTTTATGGGCTTTTCAGACATTTCTTTTTCAAACTCAATGAAATTTGGTATATGTGTAGCTACTAGTAGTAGAGGGGTTCAACATAGTCGTGTTTAGGTTTTGCAAATATTTTAAGTTTTGACCTTGATTTGATCATCATGCTTTGACCATGCTCTTAAATGCCATCTGTAAACATCATCTCCAAAACAAGGGGGCACGGGTGGCCCAGTCGTCTAAGGCGCCGCGATTCGCTGTGCAGACTTGCGTCCCTTGGGCACGCCAGAAACCTATGATTGTGGGTTCGAATCACGGTTCGCCCCGATTATGTTTCTAGGTTTGTGAGCACCATACCAGTGCTCGTGGGTTTCACCGAAGTGGTAAACGTCTGAGACCTGCATCACTTCGGGCTTTCCTCCCACATTAAGCTGACACGCTGTGATATAACTGGAATACTGTTAAAAGCGGCGTAAAAACCCAACTCACTCACACTCCTCCAAAACAACTGTCACAATGAAGCTGAAACCCATACATGCTTATTCCTACAAATGTTGATACCTGAATTTGTTAAAGAGTTTTGATTCTGATTTTCAGTATGTTGTGGGGCTTCAAGACATAATTGTCTTGTTTTATGATAGACATTTTAAATTGGAAATTTGATTTGAAAATCTTGCTTCAACCAGACTCTTAAATTGTATCAAAATGGATTCTAACAAGTTCTGAAAACGTCATCTCCTGAAAACCTACTGGACCAACTTCACTTGCTTGTTCTAACCAATTAGGACACCTGAAAATGTTAGAGGTTTGGATCCGATGTTCAATATGGGCTCCATATAATGGAATATGGTTTGTGTACGAGTCTCTACACATTTGTTGTGTATTTACGATATATTATATTGTAAACTTGATCTGAACTTGAGGCTTTAGCAATGCTCTAAACCCGCATCACATTTAAGTATGGATCTGTAATCGCCTCTGAAGTTAGCCCGCTGGACTGACGAGGCTGAGGCTTGGATGTTTCTGCTTATGATAACATATTTTGTTGAGCTCATTTCAACTTATTGTAATTGTTTTTGTCCTTATTCTTAAAATCAATTGAAACAAATTTGCTAAAACGCCATTAATGTCTCTCCAAAAAGAGTTTGAAGTGTTATAAAATCAACAAAAAGAATACTACTTTGTAATTTGTTTAAAAAAACCCAATGTTGCTGAAACTGAGAAACTTTGATGAAATTTAACAGCTTGGTTAATATGCCCATATCAGTTATATTATCGTGGAAATGTTTAACTATGAGAGATAAATATCCCCTGGTCTAAAGTAATGAGATTTTTTGTAGTGTGATGAGATTTTGCTTATGATCAGAGATATTTTTCTTTAAAGAGACTGTATTTGGTTTTCGTTATTAGTGACTCAAATTATGATGCAATTAATGTAATACTCGTTTATATAGAAATTATCCTCGCATATTCCATTTTCAAACACTTATTTATTCCTCTGCAAATATTATTGGATAGTGAGCATTGTTAACTGAAATAGAATACAAAATGCATTAATATTTATGTATTTTTGTTCATTGTCGAATTTAGAAGGGACTAATCATGTGTACAATTATAGATCGTTTCATAGACGTGTTTACCACAATCAGCTGTTAATTTTGTTGGCAAGCGGGAGACAACAATCTGCCGTTCTCAGATGTTTAGTTCTTAATTGAATATATTCAAAGTGAAAAGATATAATATAGCGACTTGTAAATAGTGTTACTGTTTGCTGGCAAAAAATATGTTATTTCCAATCGAAAATGATATTTCCATCTGTAGTGTGTACTGTTCTGAAGGAAATATGGTTAAGTTTCGCATTAATTAGAAGTGACCATTCTTCAAATGTTTGTTATACAATGAACATTGTTCCAGGTTCATGTTTTGTTTGATGACTAACCCAATGGAGGGGAGACATTGTTTTTGTCTCCGTTCTCGTTAGCGTCGACGTTCCCATTTTATACTGGGCCATAACTTGAAAATTGTTCAATGTTTTTCAATGAAACTTGGCATGTGAATTGCTCATCTCATCAGCTTACTGATGTCTTTTGCTGTTTTGAAATTTTCCAACAGATTTTTCTTATGTTTCCATGGAAACAATTTTGACCTTGTCTTAAACAAACTCTAGGCTTCGTTTCCCAGCCATAACTCACAAACTAATGATATTTTTTTCATGAAACTATACATGTGCAATGACCACATGCTCAACTATTACCTTTTCATATTTATCAATTATTAACTTTTTCATTTTCTTGTGTTTCCATGGAAACAATTTCGACTTGGTCTCAAACAACTTTCATTTGTTTCCCGCCCAAACTCTGCAGCTAATGAATATTTCTGCATTAAACCATTATCATTCCAGGTTTTTATTTGTTTTTGTGAGTATAAACACATTCTAGATAAGGTATTTGTTTCCCGTAGAAGGCGGCATAAAAATGTTGATGAGTAACCAGAAGTTTAAACAACTGTTTACATTCACGATGTTTATGAGCTATGTTTGAATGATTAAGTCACATTTTTCAATTTTTAATCTGAAAGCAAACGTATCATAGCATATTCTAAACTGTTAATTCAACTTGCTCTTTGGCCACGAGAAATAGTTCACAATTCTTATTTCTCGCATGGTGGCAATTCTTGCATGTTCATGAAAACTCTTCCCACTAGTGCTGCCTTACTTAAAGGCTAGGTTAATGTCAACTTAGATACATTTGTTTTTTATCGGAAATATGTATATTAGTATAGAGAAAGGTTTGTAGGTATATCTATGTAGTTTTTGTTTTGTTGTCATTCCAAAATCAAAATTTCACCAAGTTCAAAGTTTGGTCAAAAGTATTCTTCTAGTCAGTTCTGAAGGGCAAACTTAAACATCGTTATGAGTGCTATGTGGCACACATGAGAAATAGATATTTTATTAAGGGAATATTAATGTTAAGTAGCAGTTTTTGTTGACAATCCGACTGTTGACTCTATGTATATGTGAAGGTGAGCTACAGTGCCTTGGCAATATTTGTGAGGATGATCACTCTCACGATTTATGCTTCATATTTCTTCAGGAGTTGATGTAAAATCCATGAGAACATGTTATGACACACAGAGTTCATTGTCCTTGGTCTTTCATGTTTTCTGCAATAATATTTCAATCTAGAGACACCCTAAGCACATCTAAACCTTTAGGTTGTGATAACAGTGTTATGGCAAGGAGGATCTGTATTTTCTTGTTTAATTTATAACACTGATAACAAAAACAAATCACAAAAAGGTCAACATATATGTCCACGTTCTAGCAGGTATGGACATGATAGAGTGTTTACATGAATATGAAATATATATTTTTATTATTTGCCCATGAAGAGATCACCCGTTTAATAAACATACAGCTGTATACCAATACCAAAACGCGTGCTTATATACTCTCGGAACACGTTTCACGAAAAATATTGAAAGCTCTCAACATCCCTTGGCTTATTCAACGACATTGCATGTGGAGATGATAGATCACTGAGAGGAGCTTATGCACTCTCGATGACCCCAGCAACCTTGTTGCTAGGGTGACGTCACATGGCATTGTTTCGCTGAAGGATCTTGCAACTAAATTCCACAAATTACGTCATCGGGTATCGGGTAACTGATAACCTTAGCGCTACGATAATTTTGTGGAACGGACGCCTGAATTCTAAAGATGGATCGTTGTATGGTATTAAAATCATACATTTCAACTTTTGATGTGTTTGAAGTATTATTCTGTTAAACTCAATTGTATTATGCCATGGATCATGTAGGTGTCAGCCTATTCACAGTCGACAGTATAATTCTAAATACGTTATAAATGGCAAGTAATAAATAAAATACTAAACTCGCTCCCGTGTAAAACCAATTTTGTGAAACTTGTGAATAGTTGTGGTATCTGACTCGCTTTGGCTCGTCAGATACCACAACTATTCACTCGTTTCATAAAATTGGTATTACAGGGGAGCTCGTTTAGTATTCTATATATATTTTGTTTCTGTAATGATAATCACAACCTGTTTGAAAACAAACAACACTGAGTGGATATTTGGAACCTTCATGCTCCTTTTGGGGCAAATGTCAGTGTGACTTCATTGGTTCATGTTTTTAATCCAATGTTTCAGGATTCCATATTCTGTGTGGCAGCTGCCTTCGGTGTGTTCTACTATTGAAATCAACAACGCCTTCACCGTGTCATTCTGTTATTGACAATTGTACATTGCTCTACATTGACTGAAATGCACCACATCGTTCAAGGAGTCTGGGAATTGCAGCAGCATTATGCATCAGAATTGATAAATAGGATTGCCTGATGCCCGTGGACACTATATTACATGACAGGGCAGACTTGTTAACATTTATTACCTGTTAAGAAATATAACAGCAGATGTTCGTTGGAAGATGTAGTGTTAGAAATAATGCTTGACAAGCATGTCCTGTGTCAAGGTTCTGTTTCAAAGAACAGAAAGGTTTAAGCACTTGGGCTCTTTGCAAACAATTCTATTAAGCCTAAACCCTCAAGAAACCTGTGTGCCTCCTCTTATGCAGTGAAATTGTCCAGAAACCTTGTTTAGTGGATCAGCGTTAGAAATTGAGGGTGCCCTGGGTTCCTTGAGGTTTGTGTTGAGGTATTTGTTTGTTGGGACCACATTGAGCTTTTACTTTTGACATAAGTTATACAACAAGGACCCTTTCACTGTCATGCTTATTTTTGAACTTGTTTCTTGTACAAATGCTCCTCGCTCTTATCAATATGTTTAAAGCCTTCAGCTCTTACAAAATAAAAGTGTGAGATGTGTAAGATACTGAGCTTATCCCTCTGCTCGTTACAGTTAGTACCTGATGTAGCAAGACAAACTTGCCGGTTGATGCAAATGCTGTGAAACAAAATATAACTTCTTTTCATGTTCACAAGTGTTGTTTTTTGAAGATGTTGGAAACAAATTATTTGTTGTTTTTATCCACCAAAATCAATCAGTGATGTTGCAATACACACAAACAAAACAATGACACATTGTAGAGTTGGTTCCAGTGTACAGTTGGTTCACAGTCCATGAATAATCTCAGTGATGTGATGTTTGACATTCCAGCCTTTTGAACCCAGCTTCATCACCGGTATCATTTTATATTTTTGTAAAGATTTCATCCCAGAAGGGGGCATTGGCAGCCCACTCATCCAAGACACCACAAAATTGCTATGCAAAGTTCCGTCCTTTCGGTGTGCCATGTTCCTATGGTCACGGGTTCAAATCCCAGATTCTCCCTGATTATGATCATTGGTTTGTCAGCACCAAACCCATGCGTGTGGGTTTTTACCAAAATGGTATATGTCTGAACCTACACCACTTCAGGCTTTCCAGGCACATTAAGTGATGTGTGGCGATGATACAAAGTGAAATATAAGACAACTTGGTCAGTCATTCCCTGGTGTGTTGTCTCTATGTAATTCTCCTTGTCTGGTTCCACAGATTCTATATCAATAGCATCTTATTCAGGGGTCCCTTCCACAAAGTGATAGTAGCGGTGATTGTAACTACAATACTTGCACATAAAAGGCGACTATGCTTGTCGTACGAGGCGACTAACGGGATTGGGTGGTCAGGCTTGCTGACTTGGTTGATGCATGTCATCGATCCCAATTGCGTGGATCGATACTAATGATATCAATCACTGGATTGTCTGGTCCAGACTCGATTAGTTACAGACCGCCGTCATATAGCTGGAATATTGCTGAGTGTGGCGTTAAGCAACAAACAAACAAACAAACAAACTTGCACACAGACTTACGACTATCATAGCCTTGAAATTGCTTTGTCAACAATGCCATGACTTGTTTTCCTGAGGATTATAAAAGTCATGACAAGGATAACTTTTAGATGACATATGTGCTTATTAATATTATTTTTTAAGATTTGAACATATTTTCTGTTTATATTTGAACATTTATGACACTGGTAATTGATATAGAAACAAATCGCCGCATTGACATATTGTAAAGGGCAGAGAAATTGTTTGTGTTTGAACATGTTCAGCAAATGATTGTAAGTCTACTTACATTGGACAAAACTTATTACTGTTAATTGTATTTTCTTCTTGGAGCTCAAATCCTTTTGAATATTTTAAGCTCAAAGTTAAAAGATCTACAATTCTTTAATTGTTAAAACTTTCTGCATGTTTCTTTATACAAATTGTCTGTGTCTATGTCCAGGATCTGGACGAGGATACGGATGTGTGTTGTACCAGTGGTTAACACCAATCACGTCAAACCCCGTTTCTCTCCCAAACCAATCTCATTAAAATAAGATCTGGCTGCCGCTAAACAAAGATCTGAGGACATCCCATTACGGGTCACGTCAGAACGACCTTTCGCGAACTTTGATCGACCACTGAAATGACATACAAGAAGTCGACATCAACCAATTAGAAAGCAGCTTTCTCGAGCTTTACGGCACTTGTTTCAACCTGGCGACTTCCATTTCAGGCTACACTTGAAAAATATGTTGACACAGTTCTCGATTAAAATTTTGAAAACTGAACAAACGGACATTCCCGAATGTCTAATATATGGTTGAGATTGTATAGCAGTTCTTCCCACATACTGTGCAACGTCTCCTCCGTTCAAATGTTTATCCCACGGAAGTGAGAGATAGACAAAATTATTGACGTAATCAGTCGTATGGGCCATAACTGTCGTTTGGAATACCCCGTGTTAACGTTTTTGAGGTTGCGTGATTAGAAAACACATTCCGACTGTCACTTTCAGGATCTGGTAAGCGACGCTTTGATTGGTCGGATGAAAGGTAGTTCTGACATGACCCGTAATGGGATGTCCTTAGATCTTTGTTTAGTGATAGCGAGAACTGAGATCTGATTTTAATGAGATTAATTCCAAACCTGAATACAGTGTGTGAAGCTCATCCCTGGTGTCTCCCATCTTGGTATTTCTTAGAATATTGCTGAAAGTAGAATAAAACCTGACTGACTGACTCACTCACTCTCCTTATGATACACTCTGAAATCATGCTGTCTGCCCGTTCTGAACAGAGTGAGTGTGAGTGAGTGAGTATGGTTTTACTCCGCTTTTAGCAATATTCCAGCAATATCACTGGGACACCAGAAATAGGCCTCACACATTGTACCCATGTCGGGAATCGAACCCGTGTCTTTGGCATGACGAGCGAACGCTTTAACCACTAGGCTACCCGACCGCCCCGTTCTGGACAGAGGCCAAGGCGGACTAGTGCCCCAGAGCCATATGTTTCTTTTGGGGCTGATTCAAATGGACATGGTCGCAATGAGTATGAATAAAACATATTGGTGACAATAGAGATCATCAACTCTGGTGCTCATTAACTGCTAATACACCAAGAACTGATGCTATCTGCCTGTTCATGTGCTGAGGCCAGGGCAAGACAGGTCTCCAGTTAACTGAAATGGCGACAATGGCTTAGTATGAATGATACACATGGATGACTTCAAGGAGTATCTATGGTTGTGATCTGGTTGACTGAAGGCAACCCGTTTCAACCACTGCATCACCAGTATTGCACTCATTACATGACATTCCTATTAAGGGTATTAGTGTATGGCAACAGTACAAAATGCCACTGTATGAGTGTGTTCCTGTAGTTGATGATGAGGATCTGTCTGAGGCTGACCCATACCTGGGCTGTCGGGTAGCCTAGTGGTTAAAGTGTTTGCTTGTCATACCGAAGACCCGGGTACAATGTGTGAAGCCCATTTCTGGTGTCCCCCGCTGTGATATTGCTAAAAGCGGCATAAAACCAAAGTCACTCACTCACTCACTGACCCATCCCTATTGAGACAAATACTTGCTTTTGTCACAATATCATACATGTTCTACTGGGACCAGGTACCAATGTTAACCAAAACCCGGCTGCTTTAAAAGCAGGAATGATGCGGATAGATTGACAAGAAATGATGTATTTCTTTGTGTGGAGAACCATGATTTAGGAGGGACGAAGTACAGGCATCTGTGATTAAGAAAATGTTTTGTTTGAAACTAAATGTATATAAGATGACAATATTTATAGTTCTCAATTAAAACCATATGTTTAAAGCTTGTGTTGTTGTTTGTTTCAAGTTGATGAGCTATTCAACAGGGACACTTGCTTACTTTGAGATTTACCATAGCTTTCAGTTCCTGAAGAAGTAAATACTTTAACATTGTGACATCATGATGGACAACAATTTCTTGTGTTTGTTTCCCTGAAGCTCATTAGTGGAGGTATTCTGAAGTTGCACAGAATTTCTTTTTCTATTGGACAATTGACTTGCCTTGTGTTTGTTCCCTGTGAGCCTCAGGTTAGCTGTAGTGATATATATCATGCACCTTGTGAACATCACAGGTTAGCTGTAGTGATATATATCATGCACCTTGGGAACATCAGGTAAGCAGTAGTGATATATATCATGCACCTTGTGAACAGCAGGTTAGCTGTAGTGATATATGTCATGCACCCTTTGAACATCAGGTAAGCAGTAGTGATATATATCATGCACCTTGTGAACATCAGGTTACCTGTAGTGATATATATCATGCACCTTGTGAACATCAGGTTAGCTGTAGTGATATATATCATGTACCCTTCGAACATCAGGTTAGCTGTAGTGATATATGTCATGCACCTTGTGAACATCAGGTTACCTGTAGTGATATATATCATGCACCTTGTGAACATCAGGTTAGCTGTAGTGATATATGTCATGCACCTTGGGAACATCAGGTTAGCTGTTGTGATATATATATTATGTACCTTGTGAACATCAGGTTAGCTGTTGTGATATATATCATGCACTCTGTGAACATCAGGTAAGTTGTAGTGATATATATCATGCACTCTGTGAACATCAGGTTAGCTGTAGTGATATATATCATACACCTTGTGAACATCAGGTTAGCTTTAGTGATATATATCATGCACCTTGTGAACATCAGGTTAGCAGTTGTGATATATATCATGTACCTTGTGAACATCAGGTTAGCTGTAGTGATATATGTCATGCACCTTGTGAGCATCAGGTTAGCTGTAGTGATGTATATCATGCACTCTGTGAACATCAGGTTAGCTGTAGTGATATATATCATGCACCTTGTGAATATCAGGTTAGCTGTAGTGATATATATCATGCACCCTTTGAACATCAGGTTAGCTGTAGTGATATATGTCATGCACCTTGTGAACATCAGGTTAGCTGTAGTGATATATATCATGCACCCTGTGAACATCAGGTTAGCTGTAGTGATATATATCATGCACCCTTTGAACATCAGGTTAGCTGTAGTGATATATGTCATGCACCTTGTGAACATCAGGTTAGCTGCAGTGATATATATCATGCACCCTGTGAACATCAGGTTAGCTGTTGTGATATATATCATGCACCTTGGGAACATCAGGTTAGCAGTAGTGATATATATCATGCACCTTGTGAACATCAGGTTAGCAGTAGTGATATATATCATGCACCTTGTGAACATCAGGTTAGCTGTAGTGATATATATCATGCACCTTGTGAACATCAGGTTAGCAGTAGTGATATATATCATGCACCTTGTGAACATCAGGTTAGCTGTAGGGATATATATCATGCACCTTGTGAACATCAGGTTAGCTGTAGCTATGTCATACTTGTGAACATCAGGTTAGCTGTAGTGATATATATCATGCACCTTGTGAACATCAGGTTAGCAGTAGTGATATATATCATGCACCTTGTGAACATCAGGTTAGCTGTAGTGATATATGTCATACTTGTGAACATCAGGTTAGCTGTAGTGATATATATTATGCACCTTGTGAACATCAGGTTAGCTGTAGTGATATATATCATGCACCTTGTGAACATCAGGTTAGCTGTAGTGATATATATCATGCACCTTGGGAACATCAGGTTAGCAGTAGTGATATATATCATGCACCTTGGGAACATCAGGTTAGCAGTAGTGATATATATAATGCACCTTGTGAACATCAGGTTAGCTGTAGTATTATATATCATGCACCTTGGGAACATCAGGTTAACTGTAGTGATATATATCATGCACCTTGTGAACATCAGGTTAGCAGTAGTGATATATATCATGCACCTTGTGAACATCAGGTTAGCTGTAGTGATGTATATCATGCACCTTGGGAACATCAGGTTAGCAGTAGTGATATATATCATGCACCTTGGGAACATCAGGTTAGCAGTAGTGATATATATCATGCACCTTGGGAACATCAGGTTAGCTGTATGGATATATATCATGCACCTTGTGAACATCAGGTTAGCTGTAGTGATGTATATCATGCACCTTGTGAGCTAAGACAAAATTGTTATGGATCAGCAACTTCCTTATTACAATCGGGCGACGTTTCTGTGTAGATTCTAACACAGGTATCAAACAAATGATGTACAAACTAGGTATGAACATGATATATATACATAACAATAGATAGGTGTTTATATAACAGATAAGGTTGATGTACACTGATTGATTAGGTAGTTATGATAAGACAAGTTTATACATATGCTAACCTACATAGTATGTCTTGTAGGCGTCTGGATAGCTAAAGACATGCGCCTCGTGGGCACGTAGACATGTCCAACATAATATGCATATTCGTGCATAGACTTGCGACCACCATTATTCATATGAGTGCGGCGTTAAGCAGCGAACAAACAAAAACACTGTTCAACATTCCACGCATAAGTAGCATATAATTTATAAATGAACGTTTTATTGGGACTAATTCAACACGTATTATCCCCGTGTTTCCGTCAGTGAAACACCTGTGCCGCTTCCAGCTCGGTTCAACATTGCACTCACAAAACATATTTCACACGTTAGACCTTTCCGTACCAGTTCATTGTAACGCTTTCTCTGGCTGCACGGGTGTTCTCTAAACAGTTATCTTATATCCATTGTCCGGTGTTCTAGAAAGTGTGGCAGCGACCGTACGTGATTCGACAGTTGGTGCAGATTGTATGTTACGGTGTGATTGTTGCACTTATAGAGCGACGTGTGTACACGTGTGTGTGTGTGTGTGTGTGTGTGTGTGGCTGTTTGTACTAGTCCGGACTAATGCTGATTTTATAGTGCAAGCCCACTGAGATACCATGCCGCAGTTTAACATGAATACCCCATTCAGAGACAGTATACTGACTCCGAGCCGACCAGTCCTTGTTTGAGCCGGCAACAACGAGTACCATCTTTTAATGCGGTCTTTTGGTATGACGCGGCCGGAGAACGAAGTCTGTATCCACTAGATCACATCACGGAGGCGGTCGGGTGATGATGTTACTCATATATGATGCCAACGTATACACACACATGAGGCTCTCGTATACTACTACTACTACTACTACTACTACTACTACTACTACTACTATTACTCTACTGTGTGGTCAGGCTCTCTGACTTGGTTGAAGCATGTCATCGATCCCAATTGCGCGGATCGATGCTCATGATGTCAATCACTGGAGTGCGGCGTAAAACAACCAACCAACCAACTACTGTGTGTACTTATATTGCGCTAAAGTTTATCCTTACACAAGGTGTATGCTCGAAGCGCTTGCATTATTACTCCGCTCAATGGATCAGTGTGCACTTGACCTTTTTCATTCTCATCACCCTGGGGAGTATACTTGGGAGTATTCACTTGTATGGAACGCTAGTTGACAGACAGATAGTTTTGTTATAGTGTTGGAGGCCCCGTGGCCCGGAGTACAATCTTACACACATAGCTAGACTAACATGTAGTCTATAAAATCTTATATTACACAATATCCTTCTTGATTCTAAAAAAATAAATATCCCTATGCTGATTTCACGTGGAACGGGGTAGCCCAGTCGTCTAAGGCGCCGCGATTCGCTGTGCAGAGTTGCGTCCCTTGGGCGCGCCAGAAACCTATGATTGTGGGTTCGAATACCGGTTCGCCCCGACTATGTTTCTAGGTTTGTGAGCACCATACCCGTGCTCGTGGGTTTCACAGAAGTGGTAAACGTCTGGGACCTGCATCACTTCGGGCTGTCCTCTCACATTAAGCTGACACGCCGCGACATAACTGGAATACTGTTAAAAGCGGCGTTTAACCAAACTCACTCACTCACTCACTCACTCATGTGGAACGGAGCTAGCTAGAGCTGGCTAGACTTGCTTTTGTATGCGTTTCTAGATTGTTGTTTTTTCATAAAATAAAATATTTCACAGTGATGGTGCAGGACTAACACATAGCCAATGGTGTGTGGTATAGAAATTTATAATGTACATTTATCAGGAATTCCTTAAGGTCACTTACCATTAATCATAACATTTTCAATTGAATCGCCTTTAAAAACTCTTAGTGACAGTACGGATATCGCTAGGAGTGTTTCATAAATGGACATCAAGCTACAAATCCACATGATTCTGCCCTGATGAAAATCTACGATACTGCATCCATATCATGACTTTACATCAATTGTGGAATTTCAATTTATATCATTAAATTTCTTTTGAAATGGCTAAACCTTTCAAAGCTTTTCTATCTCTTGTTGGCATCAAATCTATAAGCTTCTGTCTTGATGGATAACGATGATAGTATATCGGTAACAACATGTTTCTGCTTGATCTATAGCAAGGACACTAATATTTACACGTATGATTTTGTTTGTTTGTTTGTTGTTTAGCGCCACACTCAGCAATATTACAACTATATGACGGCCGTCTGTAAATAGTCGAGTCTGGAGCAGACAATCCAGTGATTGATATCATGAGCATCGATCAAGATGGTTCTGCTGTAATAATATTTCTTCTGTATAAACTTGCGTTTTCATTTTTCAGGTCACCGGGGTTACTTTTTTATACACGCGTTCACCCAGCAGACCAAACATCTTTTAAAAAAATCCATGGCTTTCTTATCACTTCCTAGGATGGAACATATATCTGATCATCAGGGGGTGCAGACTCGTCCCAGATAATTTCCCCTACGTTACAATCGGAAACGTTTAAAATCCTATGTGTATACAAATTATATTTATTTACTGTTTTATTGGTTTTTTTCTCAAAAAGCATATTCTTGATCATTATAATAACGTATTTATGAAATAGCACTTAAGGTAGATCAGTATCTATAGCAGAATCCGTTCTTTTAATTTATTCTGCTTTCCATTAAAAGTCCATATTTCACGTTTAGTTTTCAATTTAACATCTTTTCCATTTTTAATTACCCCAAACGAAAATGATTTTAGGGGATGCTAAGCATAAGATGGTCATTAACGTTTCAAAGTCTGTATACTATTAAATTTAAAGATGATTAAAACCTACTCAAGTTCATACTCCTTGGGTTTATCACTCCATGTAATCCTGTAAAATTCCGCGATCGAGTGCAGTAGTTGCATAGACCTGGCGTTCCTCAAATCTGGAGTGGTAGTGGCATTCTTGATCCCCAGACCTGTCAAACTCATCTCCCCACCCCTACCTTCACTCCCCGCTTCTATATCACCCTCCCGTCCTCTACTCATCTAACGTGGTTTATCTAGAGACCTCGTTGTTAGACCGGTCCATTTCATCTAGGGGTGAGAGGTCAGTTCTCTGAATGGAAAATCTATAATCGTGTGTCCAGTTTGGAATGAATGGATATATTTACCCGAGATTGCTGATAATATATCTACAAATATCACCAACCACTTACTCTTATCGATGTATCAGCCTCTAATTGAAATGGTATCTGTAAATTTTGATTTTAATAAATTTTATCTCCCTTGATCCTCCCGGAAACTTGGACTCGTCCATCCAACTAAAAAGTCCGTGACATGCGCCTGGTGTTTAGCGAGGAGTGAGATTTAGTATCTAGCAAGGGAGACTTTGTGGAATATGCCCAGAGTGTAGACGCTTTTCGGTCCTAGTTTGAGGAAATTTAGACCCCATTTCCGTTTGTCTCCACACTGTAGCTTCCCTCAGTCGTTATGTCCATGTCCCGGGAAGAGAGGGAAGAACTGGAAGGTAAGATTTGGGAGAGATAACTTTTTTCTTTCAAATATTTTAACGATGACGTGTTTTTGAAATGCGTTACAGGGGTTTAAAGCAACGTGTTGAATACATGTACTTGTGAAATGGGCCGGGGGTGCGCTTAATTAGTGATGTTTCGGGGGTCTGTATAATTATTGGGTATCTGTTTTTTAAAATTATAACCAATGTAGGTTATTAAAAGAAATATCTTGCAGGCCATATCCTGGCAATTTCTCATTTCACATTAGGAAACCAATTTGTTTTGAAGAAAGAAATGTATTTTGTAATATAATTCTTCATAGACTATCGATATATCTACCGTGACATTAAAGAGGACAGTTTTTAAAGATCGTGGACGTCTGAATGTGCCTAAGCGCGTTTTATCAATGACATGTTAAATTTGAACCTGGTGTATCCAGACAAATGATTACAGAGGCCTGGATAAAAATATATTAAAATATTATTCTTCTTTAATTATCATAATGGTAATATTATATATATAAATAAATACTGTCAGGTTACTATCATGTAGAGAGCATCTAAGAAAGTGTCACCATATAGCGAAATGATGCAGTGACGTAATTAAGCCAGATAACGGGACCTTATCAGTGCTGAACAAAGTTTTAATACAGACACGGGGCTGTTTGACTCAAATTCAACAAAGATACATTCAAATCATGATTCACATGGTTTTTTAAATTGCTTTTTTCCCCCGCACATCAAGCGATTATCACCATATAACTAGCCTTGCTCCAAGTCTGTACTGAGTGATAAATCCATTGATGTATAGTAATTCTTTCAGTGTAATAGGCAAGTGTAGATAAGCGGACAGTACGCCAGTCTTTTGGGGGAAAAAATGTTCTTATTTTATAATCTAGAAATTATGGTTTAAAGTAATAATCATTGCTTTAGAGACTTGTGCAAGTCTACCATATAATTTGAGACACGAGGCTCACTCCTAATAAGGCTGCACCCCCACATATAATGGCGATATGTTTGGAACACGTCGACATGTCACTATTGGTATTTGAAGGCGGGGTCTCCTTATCTGTTACATGTGCCTGGGAGAGGCACGGGTGGCCCAGTCGTCTAAGGCGCCGCAATTTGCTGTGCAGAGTTGCTTCCCTTGGGTACGCAAGAAACCTATGATTGTGGGGTCGAATCCCGGTTCGCCCCGATTATGTTTCTAGGTTTGTCAGCACCATACCCGTGCTCGTGGGTTTCACCGAAGTGGTAAACGTCTGAGACCTGCATCTCTTCGGGTCTTCCTCCCACATTAAGCAGACACGCCGTGATATAACTATAATACTGTTAAAAGCGGCGTTAAACACAACTCACTCACTCAAATGTGTCCGATTAACTGGCGGCTTTGCGATTTGCCAAAAATACATTGCAGTGTTAAGATCATTATCCTGTACCAAGATTCAATTTCAGTTCATATCAGCTTTGGGTAGCATATTACAGTGTTCATCTGTTACGCCGAAGACACAGGTTCGATCCCCACATAGATACAATGAGTAAAGCTAATTCTCGGTGCCCCCATCTTGTGGAATATAATTAATTGCGACGTAACAGTTTCTCAACATGCGTAGGTCGACAGCAGAGGGTGAGGGAATAGGTAAACTTCGCTTTGTTTAACATTTTAGTATATCAATTTAATGTGTGACGAGAGCTCTGTGTGACGCAGATTGTAATCGATTATAACCGTGTTGACACCAGTGAACGCTGATTTGATACCAACACGGGTTCGAAGGCCAAGAAGTGTATTCGGTTTTAATTGTTTTTCTCGAAACAACATCAGGATAGTATAACTCGACACAACCGTTTTGGCTTCTTATTGGTCACGAAGCCACCCGTCGATAAACAGATATTTCAATGATAATCCAAACAAATTACGGTGAGGTGAGGTGAAATTGGGTTTAACGTCGCGTCCAAGATTATTGCACTTATATAGCGACGTGCACGCACGTGTGTGTGTGTGTGTGTGTGTGTGTGTGTGTGTGTGTGTGTATGGCTGCTTGTACTAGTCCGGACTGATGCCGATTTATAGTGCTAGCCCACTGAGATACCATGCCGCAGTTTAACATGAATACCCCACTCAGACACAGTATACTGACTCCGAGCCGACCACTCCTTGTTTTAGCCCCTAAATGCCGAACGCCAGACAGGGTAACAACAAGTACCATCTTTTAACGTCTTTTGGTATGACGCGGCCGGGTATCGAACCCCGGACCTTCCGCTCTCCGGGCGGACGCTCTACCACTAGATCACAGAGCAGTCTCAGACAAATTACGACCTGGAAACGTTATCAGGTCAAGTCTGAGACCAGGACCCACTTGCACAAAGCGATCTTAGCGCTATGATGATCGTAACTCCCGCACTCTAACATAGGCTTACACTAGCCTTATCGCTAAGTTCGCTTTGTGCAAGTGGGCCCAGGTGTGTATCTTGAGAGTAAACGGGATCTCATTAATTATTTTAAGTTCGAATTTTGGCACTCGCGCTGTTAATAATGTAATCTCAGATCGTTTACTCCGATACGATAGAGATATCCTATCGGAGAAAAAGATTCCACTTTTATGGCATTCTTTAAGGACGAATACTATAATTTAAGGTTGAACAATTCGTATTCCGGCATTCGTCTTTTCGTAAGTTTCGACTTTTCGTAAAACCCGGTGTCTTTACACCGGAAGTCGGATTCTGCTAGCCGCAGTATGTTGCGTTGCACACATGAACATGCATAACACAACGCTGGCTGGGTGCCCAAACTGGCGTACATAATCGCCTGACCCCTAGCAGGAAGTCTTGTTAACACCAAGCATGATGTTCTTCCATTTAACCCATTCAGATTTGCTGTTATCATTTGAACCGTGTTTTCGTGACGGCCGCTGGGTCGTGAGTTCAAATCCCACATTCCATGATTTGTCGGCACCACACATGTGTTTTTGGATTTCATCCTAAAGCCCTGAGAATTGCGTCACTTTCCCTCGACTGTGATACTGCGTCAACACCTCAACGCGTTCGCTCACTTGTAATGACAGCAATGTCTCTTTAATATTTATGGGGGTACTGTGATAGCCTAGTGGTTAAAGCGTTGACTGGTCACACCAAAGACCGAGTTCGATTTCTTACATGGGTACAATGTGTGAAGCCAATTCCCGGTGTCACCTGCCGTGATATTGCTGGAATATTGCTTAAAACGGCGTAAATCCCTACTGCCTCAATCAATCAATAACCAAACACGGTTCACCAAAGAGGAAAATATACACCAACTTTGTTACTTTCGTGAAATGTCTTGACATAACTGAATCACCTTCAAACTTACATCATTCACTTCACACGTCTCGTGGGGATCCTGGATTAGATTTGGTCCAAATCTACCAAGCTGGTCGAAAGAGGCGGCCCGATGTCAAGATCTGGTTGTCAGGCTCGGTGAATTGTTTTTTGCGTTTCATCGTTCCCCGAGTGCGTGGATGGTTGCTCACATTCACAATCACTGGATTGTCTGGTCCAGATAGGATTATTTGCAGGCCGCCGTCATACATCATGAATATTGTTGAGTGCAGCGTAAAACCCCCCAAAAAACAACTTAAAAATTCATACAGTACTTATGACGTACTTGATTTTATGCACTGAAAACAACATATGTCCGATATTTAACGTATGCATTCTGTGAGTGAATGAATGTTGTTTAAGTCCGCATCAACTTAAGCTACAAGATCAGAAACTGACTGAAAGCATGAGAAAGGACACACGAAAGATACGACAAAACGCAATCAACCAAGTGATCAAACGTAACGCGATATCCATTTCTTCATCTCTTTAAGAAAAATGTTTTTAAATATAACTTTGTATATATATATGAACCAGTTGTGAATATAACTTGGTCTCGTCGCTGTATGGCGGAAATATTGCCGTTGCGACGTTAAATTTTAACTCACTCACTCATCTCTTAAGACAAACAAGAATCCCCCTGTAACGCAGAATCCCCCAGGGTTCCCCAAAGATTTGACTGCCCACGCAGGTTCTTTAAAAAACTGTCCCTGAATTTAACTTAAAAATTCACACTTTCTAGCCCTTTCACCAAAAACGTTATTGGAAACGAAGGTATGTGTTTACATATTAACGGGATAGGCTACAGCTCTTCCCAGTGATAGAGAGGATACACTACCATATTCAGGCTTTTCTTCAGCCGGGCTAGCGCGAGTGGTAGATGTCGTGCAACATGTGTGAAACATTTTTCCGCTTCTTAATTAGCAGGATTGGTTTAAGTTTTGAATCACTAAATACTTAAATCGCCAACTTAGATTTCAGTGTTGAAAAACTTGTTAGTGGAATTCGGTTCACGTGACGACAGCGGTGAATCTAGTACTTTCGTTTATGGGGGCGAGGGACGTGTTGGGGAGGGAGAGATGGGGGTGGGGGAGATGCTTCTAGAAACGAGAAAGACAGGTTATAAGGAGATAAGCTCTGAAGAAATTGGCAGGATAAGTTTCCTAGGATACACAAACATATAAATACTAATTACTGGATAATAGTGTGTATATACCAACGTGTCGTGACTTGAAACAAAATGTAAGGTTTAAGGAAATGCCGTGAAAACTGCTACTGCGTGATACAAATCCCGATGAAAAAGAGCCCGATCTCACCGATTCCTATATAGTTATACCCATCTGAAACCAGATGGAGGTTGAGCTAATGCGTTGGATAAATTCCAATGTGGTTTCAGACACAGACAAACATACTTATTCGTTTGTTGTAGCCAAGCGGCTAATATACTGAGACATTGTATACTGTGTTTCGTTAAGCGCCGTGTACTAAGTTTTACACGTATTGAAGTGCATTCTTGTACATTATCATATACAAGGAGTCGGATTTTTCACTTTTTTCTGAATGTCTTACTATATTGATTGCAAGTCTAAGAAGTGTGTTACTATTTTGGGTTGTCATTAACTTTTGTTCCTTCGGGTAGTTGAAATACACCCTGAGATGCA